GTTCAGTTTCCTGCATGGTAGGGACTTGCCTGTGACTCATCACATGATGCCAGAGTCAATGCTCTTAAATTTTAATTTTGATATCAGATAAATTAAACACTCAGGGAGCTCATTGAAAGGTTATCTTACTAGTTTGGGGACGGTAACGTTCCGTTCCCCCATTCGCCTCAGGCCTCAGTAGTCCGTCTAAGTATACGCTTGATTTGGCTGTATATTGACGGGGTAGAAGTAAAGGCTCATCCGCCTTTTACAGCTACCCCAAGGGTTTATATACAATCTTATACATTCTCGCACAAATAAATAGAGAAGCTTCCGCAATGCTAAATTAGCGTCGCGACATAATTATTACACAACACAACATCAACTGATGTTGTGGGCGGAATATAGACATGGGCCGGGGCCTCACACTCATATAGATAATAGTCCCCTGTGTGCAAATATAGCTCTATGAGCTTTGACTACTTTGGGGAGCTCTGAGAGAAGGGGACCTGCAATTTCAAAGTACTGAAACTCTGAGAGCTCTATGAGCTCTCAGGCCTCCACATCCAGGTTTGCTGATGCTCAGTGTAGTTCCCCATCTGAATTTCCCTTTGTCTCTGTTTGGACACCTTTGTTCCATTTCAGACCCCCTTTGTTTCTCATGCTTCCATCTCCCCATTATATATAGATGCTTGTACATACTCACTCACTCTGTCAGAGACCTGATCGAGATGAAGGAGTGTCTCCGTGGTGGAGGGCTTCGGCCTCAGCGACTTGTGCCAGGAGCGCTGTGCCAAGTAACACGTCCGTGCCCTAACTTACTAAACTGGCAACCAGAACTGAAGAGGGTAAACTCTAGTCGATTTTATTACTGGAGTGTAACCTATGTACAAGTTAAGTATATATAGTTACAGTGAGGGTGGGTCCGCAAATGGTGGAGCGGAGCTAACGGGGTTTAGACATTAGCCGATTGAATATTACTGACGAGTCGGGTTACGGGGTTAACGGAAAGGCAGGCGATAACCCAGAAACGGAAAGGAGGGATAGGCCTGAAGGTGGGCTTTGCAGGGCAAGCGAGTGTATTGTCCAGCGGAGGCAGGAGTGCGCTAGCGGACGTCGGAGCTGTCCGGAAGCCTTTGGGGCTCCGTACTTAGGGAGGTGTAGGTAATAAATTGAAAGGAGGGGGTGGTGACCATCGAGGGGTACCGAGGGGATTGCGGAATACGGGAGCTCCGAGGTTAGTGAAGAAGGAGCGGAAGTAGACCAGAGGAATTGGAGGGTTCGGAAGTCGATGGCCAGGGATGGATATGACACACTCCTCAATCAGTAAACAACCTGAGCAACCTGAGCAACCTAGTCTACTTGAATAACTCAAGTATGTACCTACACCCCCTAGTGTCAGAGTCTGCGCGTCTATTCACAGCGTAAGAGTATCCCCAGGAAACTGTCAGGGACGGACCCCGGGTCCCCATGACCCCTCTCTACAGTCCACAGTCTAGCCTGTAAACACAGCCCATCTCAGGGCATAACTACTGTGGGTAAGAAAGTGTATAGATAAATGAAGAGTAGGCTACACTTGCCTACTGTGGGTAAGAAAGTGAGAAGAAGGTTAACTTCTCACTTTCCCACAGTGGCCCCAATATGGCAAAAACTTCCGGGGATACCCGGAAGTCACATGAGGTGGGATCCGGGGTCGGATCATGCGGCGCGCGGAGCGTGCGGCGCAGGAAGTGCGCGGGAAGTGGAGCGGGTCTGGACGCGGGTCCGGGTCCGGGCTAAGTCAGGGTATGTGCCCTGACAGAAACTAGTCGATATCAAAGCTGGGGGGCTAGCCCAGCTGGCATAGTAGCCTTATGTACATGAGTTCTGCTAACTCACAAGAGCGCAGTTACATTGGGAAGATGGTAACTAATAGAAACACGACATCAAATAGGAAGATAGAAGATGCGGGAAATGAGGGAATATCGGGTAAGGGGTGACGCGATAGCGAATATAGCGCAATGAGTTATATCTGCGTTCTAACTATGTAATTATCTCATGCAATCTCGGCTAACAATTACCTCATTGATATCGCTTAGAGTAAAGGGGGGCCGGATAACCGGGCGTCCCCTGACACCTAGAGACTTTACCCTTGATATGCCTGAAATTAAGGACCAGCAGGACAAACAGCAATGGCACAGCACTCCACCTGAGTCACTGAGGCCAAGGTCCCTCCTCACTAAGTCTCCATTTCCACTCTGGAACCGGCAGAGACCCTCATCTCTAACAGTGACCGTGAGTGGTTGTCAGGGCACACCCGCCTGACCCAGCTCCACCTGCCCTGACCCAGTATCCTGCTCACCTCTATTCCTCACCCTTCATCACAGTTCCTCTTTTCTTGTTCTTCCTCTGTCCTTTTGTCCTTTTGTCCTTTTGTTCTTTTGTTCTTTCTTCTATCTTTATCTACATGGACGACCTTTCCCCATATCTATGTATTATTGACCTGCCCATGATGCGCACATGACACACCCAGCCCTGGACGACCCGGACAGCCTCACGGTGCAACCCAGCATGTGCACATGCAGCACACGACCTCAGGATCCCCCACAGGGACACCCAGATGACTGCAGCTGTATGTGGGGTGATGTGGCAAACCTCATGTGACCCAAGCCACATGTACATAAAGGTACCTGGGGTGGGAACCGAAGAAGTAACCTTCTTCTCACAGTTCCCACTTCAGTCTGAGTGGCCAGGGACCATCATCCCGTACCGGGCCCATCAGTACGCATGCCCACTCCACACCCTGTGATGGCCTCTGTCGGAAAAAGTTCAAATCCATGTCAATATATTGCAACGTGATGCAATGACCAAAACAGATATGTGGCGATACAACCGTTGTATTGATCACTTGATGTTGCAACGTGACCCGTGTGTTGCAATGCGGCTTATAGGTTTAAATGCATTACAACATGATCCACTTGATTTCAATACATTAAAAATGATAATACATCATATATTAGCTCACATAGGAATCGAACACACAACCTGGGGACTGGCGTGAGAACACTGACCACATACAATCACTATATCATACACACTATATTACCGCTCAGCCAGCGAGCCCTTACTACTTAGTAACCAACCCTTGGTTCCTCATATAGATATATTAGAGGGATAATGCATAAAGACACCGAACCCAGCTTACATAGTGAATCATGTTGTTAGGGGGGGATATCAGGGTTGGAAACCAGCGCATTAATTGCATCCCCTTTCGGAAATATCCAAAAGGCTACTCAGGTTGAATCACGTGACTTACACATGATCACATCCGGTTATTGTATAGCCATTTAATTAAATTACACCTCAGACACGCTGTACCGTTTTATTTTCCATAATCTTTAACTCATGTTAATGTATATTGTCTTTAGCTACTGTCTATAGGTAATATAACTGAGATCTCACACTATAAGCTAGAGACTGAGTGACTGTCTATAGATATAATTATCGGCACAGTTTTAACATCAGGTCTCACAAGAGGGATAAACACTGGGAAAATTTTACAGCAGAGAAACGGTCAGGAATCATGTGAGGAAGTTATAGTATGGATGGTGTAGGAAGTCAAGGCAATTCTAACGCAAATTTAACAATGAGAAATGGTGAAGAAGTGGTGGAGATATGAGGAGTGAGTTTCAGCCATATACAACACCTAGCCGCTGCTGTGTGTGCATGGGAGACTTGGTGCACAGACAGTTTCTCTCAGACTTTAGAAAATGCTATTGTTTATGTATAAAATATCTGATTGGCCAGCGGCATATGATGGATCTGTGATAAGAATCCCCAGCCTGATCCGGAGACTCGCCAGGCTAGGACGTGATGTACATAGTTTGGGAGCATAGAAAAATGTAGTTGGCGAGATACAGCCAATTTTGGTATTGTCCAATTTGGGTCCGCATTCATATCTTGGCAACTAAGAGACCCAACTAACTTTTACCCCAGTCTGCCCAGCCATTTTTGAGATAATTGGACCCAATTGCGGAACCAAATTAGACCACGTGTCAATAATACTGAAAACAGGCTGGTATCCTGCCTAGAGTTTTGAAAATGGCAAAAAAACATTTATTTTGTTGCTACACAAATATGGGGTCAGTTACAATGTCATACACCATGAAATGGCATTTGGTATACCTATTGTAACAGTGAGCTGAGGCATTGTGATTCATTGAAATGCGTTGCAATGCATTGGAATGGGCATCACGTGATGCAGTGGATTTGTAACTTTTCCGACATCAGTGCCAGGCATTATACCCGGGCCCCTTCGACCCCGGATGCATCCCTGACAGTGGTCAGCCATGGGTGGTACAATGACCTGACAATCACCATCAATGGTGACTAGAAAATTTCCTGTGTCCTTTCATGAACGTGCCCAGTGGGTTCAAATTTTTAGTCAACCTCAACAGGATCAATCTCAAGGCCATCAACAGCATCGACAACATGTCAAATGAGGCATGAGAACTGCATGAACAATTGTCAGGGCCCAGCCTCTGTCCGGGGGCAGCCCTACCTCAGAGCTGGACACTTACGGTGTCCCAGGCAGCCAGGTGCTGGATCCTATCCCAAGCTCCTCAAACTCACTAAGCAGGGATTGAGTTGTCATGTATTATGGAAGGTAGCTACAACTTGCCTAAGTGGGGATTGAGTTGAGAAGAAGGGTAAGTTTCCCTATTCCCCGCTTGGCTGCTATAAAAGGGAAATGTTCTGTACAGTTTGTAATGTGACTATGGGTAGAAGTTCCTGCAATGTGGAAAAGGTGTCACATGGGTTAAGGCGAGTTGCTTGCCTTGACCCATGTGATTTTTCCCACGGGTTTGCATGTGGGCTGTAGTTGTGAGAAAGGTGGGAGGATCAGGGAAGTGGGGGGAGGTCAGGGAAGGTGGTTCTGGGGTTGTATGGTCAGGTGTGGTTTCCCTGACAACAATACATGCAAACTGATGGGCAGAGCCCATCTGTTTTGGAATTGAACAGGCAGCTTGAGACAACCTTGGATGCCTGATATCATTCATGATGTGGCCACAAAGTACCTGCTCATTTCTTTGTCGAGGCACTACATCTCTGAAGAGGCAAAGGCTTCAAGGGCAGCAAACAATGCCACCTTCAAACTGTCCAAACTGGATGTTGGCAAGTATGCACCACCAACTGCAATGCCCCCAGTGCAGGGCCCTGAACACACTTCAACCACTGAGGATGAGGTGATGATGATGACAACATCACTTCCAACAAAGCATCTGCTTTGTCAACACATGATTCTGATATTGAGCCACTCCCACCCTGCCAATTCCCTGCAACCCAAAGGTTGCAAACTTCTCCAATGGCTAATGCCATTGCAGGCCCTTCTTCAGGGCCAAGTGACTCTCATCCTGCCTCTTCTGGGTCCATTGTTTCAACAACTCAAACTCAAGGTGACCAACCTGTCACCAAAAAGCCCCATGAAAAGGGCAAGAAGAAAGCATAGTGCTTTCCACATTCTGTATGGTCAACAATGATACCAACTACTCCACTGTGCATGATCGTTTACTCAAACAATCTTTATTTCTTACTATCTCATTTTGTTTGTCACCGGTCAATGACTGGCTTTTGCAAAGGCCCAACAGCCTTCGTATTTTATTGTTTGAGCCATCCTAAGTGTCATGAACCCACCCAGGGATGGATCCGATCGCTACCCAGGCAGGTGTGTCTGGTGGAGCTCGGTGTTCCAGGTCATCCGACAGTGGGTCGGAGGCTGACTGGAGGTGGGGTGGAGCTCCGAGGGTGACAGGGTGTTGAAGGGACTCAGCTTCAGCGACTCAGAACAGAGCGCTGTGCTCATTATGTTCTTGTTGTCCCCAATTTGTCAGGGGGGCTGGCAATGGAGGAACTGAGGCTGCCAGTGGAAGGGGGGCCAGAAGCCCCCTCTCACCACTTAACGATGGAGGCATTAGTGAGGGTCAATCATTTGTCATGCGATTCGTTGGGTTTTATACCAAGGCACCTTTAGATGCACCTGTCACTCAGTTCTTGGTTCAGGGTGGAGCAGCAGATGAGTAGAACATGATAGACATCCTGGAAGAGGGTTTGGGTTCAAGGACTTAGGACTTGATATTATAAGTGGGGGAACTATTTACTAGAGTGGTATGCACGTACATATAGCAGAGATAATTGGATCCAAAGGGAAACAAAGGTTACCAAGGGGAAGGAGAAGTAAATAGAAAGAACTCTGCAGGACAAATATGGAATAGGCAAAAAGCCCAAATTACATCTGAGGTTTGTGGAGTGGGAGGATTAGAAGCCAACTGAATGGGAAGGCCTGAGCCCATCTATGAGTGAGCAGGGGACTACAGGGGAAGATGTCTGGAAAGGTCCGGAGCCTGGAAGTTGTAGTCCGGAAGATTGGGGTTGTAGAAAATATCAAATGATAAAACAACAAAGAATAACATGACCAGAGGTAAGGTAGGAGTGGGGAGGTACCGGAGGGAAGGAGGTACCAGAGTGAAAGGGATCTTACTTGTTTTGGGGACAGTACATTCCGTTCCCCTGTTCGCCTCAGGCCTCAGTTGGTCCATCTAAGTATACACTGTGATGGGCTGTATATTAACAGGGTAGAAGTAAAGGCTGATCTGCCTTTTACAGCTACCCCGAGGGTTTATATACATTCTAATGCATTCTCGGCACAAATAAATAGAGAAGCTTCCGTGACGCTAAATTAGCGTTGCGACATAATTATCAGACAACAATGTTGTGGGCGGAATATAGACATGGGCCGGGGCCTCACATCCTCCTCCCTTGTGATATTAAATCGCAGACAGGGTACAAGCATATATACACAAGGGGAAAACAAGCATTTTTAAAGAAATAAAATTTTAACGTTCTACATACAAAAGATGTATGCAAACAGGGGCACACTCATTGCAGGAGGCTATAATAGTAGTTTGTGTTAGAACTTGCGGATTTGGACGACTCCGGAATGGAATCGGAGACTTAGCGTGGAAGGACCTCGGCCTCAGCGACTCAGGCGGAGCACTGTGCCATTGCTGGTTGTCCTAGGGGTCCCTAATTTCGGATCTAGCAGAGGGAAAGTCTCTTGGGGGGAATTCATGTCGATTTCGGACTGAGGTTACAAGTTACTAGGTACATTGTATATAAGGAGGGGTCCGGAATCAAAAGGAACAAGGGTAGGACGAAAGGAGACAAAGGGAGATGGAAAGAGGAGCAACACCGAGGGTCAAGTGTTTGACTCAATGGTGTTTTCCCAAAGGAGGAATGAAGGGCCAAGGCCCAAGGAGGAAGGAAGGAGGTTGGGAGTGGGGAATGGCTAGCTGACTGAATAGAAAGAAGCAGCAGCCCAAATAGGAATGAGGGAGAATAGCGGAATTGAAATGGACAATGCAATAGTTGCAAGGTCCGGAGTAAGTCCGGAAAGTCCGAACTCGGAGGTTAAACTCCGGAATATTGGCAAAGGTAATTAAATGGAATGAGCTAACCAATACAATGGGTATAAGCGGAGGTGGGGTCAAAGTCCGAGGTCGGAACTAAGACCGGAGGTTCCGGAGACGAGACATGAATGGGATACCGGAGCGGAGGTCCGGAGTCGGGAGCATAGGTTTTGCGTACTCGTCTGGAAGGTGTCGAGGTTGGGGTCGGACCCGGAATGTTCCGGAGTCGGACCGAAGGTGGTGTCCGAGCCGGAGGTGGGATAACCTCTTGGGAGTCGGCAAGGAGAAAGTGATGGAAGGGAAGTAGGGCTCCGGAAGTCGGAGTTCGGAGTTCCAGGAGCCCGGAGTGGAGGTCGGGATTGTATGGATATGACAGTTTGTAGGCGAAGCCCACTTAGAGTTTCTCCTGGAACATATGCACCCAGATCTCAATGACAGAGTTGTCGACAATGAAACGACTTTCTCATCATTGTGAGTTCATTAAATGCCATTGTCAACAGCAGAATTGTCGTCGATGAAGAGGAAAGTGAATAATGTCATTGACAAGAGAGGAAAGGTACAATGACAGCATTGTTGTTGACGAAAGTAAGAAGTTAATAATCAACGATGGCCCTGTCGTTGATGAAGGTGAGTAATCAATGATGGCATTGTCATTGACAAAAGTAGGGATATGAGGGGATCAGTTCCTCATTCGTTTATGCAGCATGGACCTGGATGGGCCAGAGCCAGATGGGCAATTCGATGTGGTCCTACAAGTCATCATGGACCTTGCTGCATCAACAGCGACATCGTCACTGAGATAGTTGTCGTCATAGTGACAAGTCTCGACGTCAGCATCGTTCATGGATGAATCCTCATCTTGACAACAGTGCAAGTAATGGGCATGGTGCGTGGGATGGCCGCATCCATGGGAAGTGGAGGGAGCATGCCCATGCACTGGTGGTGTGTGGGCAGATTCGTACACCGACAAGTGTGCATACATCGGAGGGGGGTACTGTGGCGGAGGTGGGGTGTTCAGATATGCCACAGGGTGTGGGCTCACATACATCATAGGTGGGTTTGAGTACAACGTTGGGGGAGGGTTCGAGTACATAAGTGCTCATTCTTGACGTTGAATCTTACGACACTCACGAGTGTCGTTGGTCATTGGTTTTATCCATTGACACGTGAGGATGTACATCTGTGCAATACAAGCCAGGGGGTACTGGTTGGGAAGTCTTTTCACCTCCATCTCAATGTCATCATGTGACATATGCATTCATGAGGCGCAGTTGTTTGTAGCCACCCTGTACCAGTCAGTACAGGTGTCAATGTCCTCTTGCAAGCACTTGCCCATCTTGAATGACCAGGCAAGATGGTACATTGTAGCGTAGAATCTCACACCTTCTTCAGTGTGTATGTAGTTTCGAACCAATTCAAACCACTTAGGTTCTTTGTCGCAGAGGAGCGCAGCCGCATCTGGGAATTTGATTCTGTCAACATGGTCAATGTTGTAGAAGCGGGTAGGAAGGGCCACCGATTGATATAATGTCAGTGGGGGTAGGGGTTTGCCATGCACTTCAGTGAGTTTGGCGTCATAGTACTCATAGTAGTGGTAACTGGGTGGATGGTTTGCAACAAATTCCTCAAAGGGGGCATCAGGGTCAACAACCCATTTGCCTTCCATCTCGTCATCATCGGACGTGGGAGCCCATCTCTTGGAAGAGGTGGTTTTTTTTGACGGTGCAGACTTGGCCGATGCAGGATCCACTGGGCCAACCCCAGGGGTAATGATGGTTTGGGGGACAGTGGGCTGTGACGACGAGGGAGCAGAAGGTTGAATTGGGGTGGGTTTGGGAGATGCAGGGCATCCCCTTGCTGTGCACACGACTCTAAAAACGTCCTCGTTGAGTTTGTCATTGGCCTTACAGAGGGATTCGATCCATTGATGAAGACAGTCGTTTTCAGAACGCAGGTCATCGGCCTCATTCTGCAACATTTCATACTTATTCCTGAGCTTGTTGAGCTCATCATTTCTACGTTTGTCTTCGAACATAGTCTCCTTATGTTTCTCGAGTTTCTTCTCGATACGGGCCCACACGACTTCCATAATCATTTTGAGTTGATCGAGCCCTGTCTGCATGGAATGCGGCAGGTGGGGGTACTTCTCACTCATGCTTACACAAGTGGGCAGGACCAAAGGGTCCTGTTTTGGGGTTAAAACGCCCATGCTGGGCGCTTCAGGGGCGACAGTCTGAGCGACTGTGGAGTTATTGTCCATCAACGACATGGCAGCATCCGTGGTGGGACTTACAAGTGGGGAATTTGGGCTGGAGTCTACCAGGGCCTCCTTGATGGGGGAAAGGTTGAGGGAAGATTCAGCAAGGGGGGATTCAGTCGCGTTCATTTGAGCGATTTCAAATTTGATGGTAGGAAGCAGGATTTGATCCCGCTTTCATTGTCATATCCATACAATCCCGACCTCCGCTCCGGGCTCCTGGAACTCCGAACTCCGACTTCCGGAGCCCTACTTCCCTTCCATCACTTTCTCCTTGCCGACTCCCAAGAGGTTATCCCACCTCCGGCTCGGACACCACCTTTGGTCCGACTCCGGAACATTCCGGGTCCAACCCCAACCTCGACACCTTCCAGATGAGTACACAAAACCTATGCTCCCGACTCCGGACCTCCGCTCCGGTATCCCGTTCATGTCTCGTCTCCGGAACCTCCGGTCTTAGTTCCGACCTCGGACTTTGACCCCACCTCTGCTTATACCCATTGTATTGGTTAGCTCATTCCATTTAATTACCTTTGCCAATATTCCGGAGTTTAACCTCCGAGTTCGGACTTTCCGGACTTACTCCGGACCTTGCAACTATTGCATTGTCCATTTCAATTCCGCTATTCTCCCTCATTCCTATTTGGGCTGCTGCTTCCTTTCTATTCAGTCAGCTAGCCATTCCCAACTCCCATCCTCCTTCCTTCCTTCTTGGGTCTTGGCCCTTCATTCCTCCTTTGGGAAACACCATTGAGTCAAACACTTGACCCTCAGTGTTGTTCCTCT